CATGGGGGGTGTTGTCAGGTGTGTGAGATGCTGGCGGCGTTGGAGAGGGTAGAGGGAGAGGAGCAGTGGTGGGATGCGTGTGACAAGTGAAAGAGGGAGAGGGGGTGACGGAGGGAGGGGGGTGGGGTGCGTCGGTTGATGTATGTGTTTTCGTTCATATGTTCATTCCATTGAACACATTGACCAGCATCGATCCATCTCTCATCTATCTATGTGTCTGTTGTGTGTGTCCGTCCGCTTAAACTGATGTCATGGCTATACACAACACCCAAAGACGCTCACACACACCACACACAGAGACAGAGATGCTTTGTCGCTCAAAGACGCCTTGACCCGTCACGCTATACAGAGAGAGAGGGAGAGAGGGCAAAACCACAGACACACGCACAAGGACACGGACGCAGACGCTGTATGTCAAAAATACACACACCACACCACAGCACAGCACAGCACACCACGGAATGCAGTCGAGAATGCACGTATGTCTGTACGTGCCATCCATCCATCCAGCCAGCCACATATTGGATAAAACGACGGATGGATCCGCCGACCCATTAAGTTACGGCTCGCACCCACATGGCGACAGACCCTTTAATCATCAAAAAGTCCTTTCCCTCCCCTCCACACACACACATACACGCCCTCACACACATGTCTTTACTCACTGGCTGGCCTCTTTGAGGCATTTGCACCCGCCCCACCACCCACAGGCATGGACATGCACTGGCTGAGGGTCTCCCTGAGCGCCCTGGCCTTCAGCAGCATCTCCTCGTACTCATTGCCCACCTCACTCAAGGCGACTATCGCGCCACCGGCACCCACACGCACCTGAACACACACACGTAGCCAGAGAGAGGGGCATGACATTGCATAGGGGAGGGAAGGGGAGTTGCTTACCTGTGAGTGTGTGACGACGGCTGTGCGAATGACGATGTTGAGGTCGATGGCGCCGTTGACTGAGAGGTACCCAATGCTGCCGCTGTACACACCTCGGGGGCGGCCCTCCTCCAATCTAACCACACACACATATTGGAGGCTATGTTGTCTCTCTCTTTCAGTGTGTGTTGGTGTCATACTTGTGAATGAGCTGAATGGTCCTGTGTTTGGGTGCGCCTGTCATCGACCCGCCTGGGAACGCCGCCACGACTGCATCGAGCGGGCAGTACTCTGAAGCCCTGCACACACCCACACCCACACACACGTATGGGCAATATACATTTGTGTGTATGGAGGGGTGGATGTGGGTCGAGAATGGTCGACTGGACTGACTTGAGCTGTCCCCGAATGGTCGACACGAGCTGGTGGACGGTGGCGTAGCTCTCGACAGCCAGCAGATGGGGCACCTCCACCGAACCCTCCACACACACGCGCCCTGACCAACACACACATCCATCCATCTATCCACCCACCCACACACGTGTCATCTCCCTCACCCAGGTCATTCCTGACAAGGTCCACAATCATGAGGTTCTCCGCGCGGTCCTTCTCGCTCCCCCTCAGCCCGTCTGCGATCCGCCGGTCGTTGGCAGGGTCGTGCAGGTCCCTGGCTGCGGTGCCCTTGATGGGTTTGGACTCGATCAGCCCGGATGGGGTGACGCGCAGGAACCGCTCGGGTGAGGAGCAGCAGATGGAGAGCCCCTGACACCTTGAGGACGGCTGAATGACAATTGCAGAGAGCGAGGGCGTTGCACACTTCGACAAAGGAGGCATGAATGTGCACCTTTCACCCTCCCTCCCTCCCTCCCCCCCTCCCTCTCTGTCTGTGTGTGTGTGCTGTGAATGCGTCCGTACCGATTTTGGCTCATATCTGATGTAAGCCGAGTACGGCGCGGGGTTGCGCCTCCTCAGCATGCAGTAGAGGTCCAGCGGCCGCTCCACACGCACCCCCTCAGCAATCAGCTGGTTGGTCAGACACACCTCATAAGTCTCGCCCTCGTGAATCCACCCAAGACACTCCCGGATGTTCCGCTCATAGACAGCCCTCGGCCGATCTGGCGTCAGCTCAACCTCCACCCCCACAGACGCAGATCTGGTGGCTTGTATGGCCGCGTGGGGCGGTTCTGCCTCCTCGGTTGGGCACAATAGCACCATCTCCCACATGCTGTCCACCCATTGCTGCTGCATGGCCGCCACACGCGCATCAGGCACCCCACCATTGGGCCGCAGGGCGTCCATCGGTGGGACCTCTGCGGTATCATCCACAGTCGCCAGCGGCACCAAAGTGACCAGGTAGACGCGGCCGAGAAGGTGGTCCAACACCACAAGTCGGTCGACGAACATCCACACGGCCAGGGGGGTGGACGTGGGCGTGTCTGAGGCCGACAGTGGTCGATGGTCATCCTCATCACACGAAGATGAGCACTCGCTTTCGCCTCCTTGGGGATTGCCGGAGGTCTCGCGGACGAGCTCAGCGGGTGGAGCGGGTGTTGCTACTACAACTGCTGCTGATGCTGTTGCCGCCTGCTGATGTTGGGGCATCTCCTTCTTCTGCACCAGCTGCCGCAGGTGCCTGCCGGTCTCGTGGCGCATCTCGTAGGCAAACCACCCCACGTACCCGCCGCAATAATCGAACGGCAGCTCACAAAGGTCGCCATCCACCGTGACATTGGCCATCCGCCGTCTCAGGAAGGTCAGGAGGCCGCTCCTCAGCTCCATTGCCGATACTCCTTCTCCTCCTGCATCGTCTCCCCCTCCCCACCGAATGCTGCCTCGCCCGTCGCCCCAGTACTCGACCCTCTCCGCCAGAGGCCCGTCAGGCACACCCATGTAGGAGAACCGCCCGTTCTGCCCGCCACGCATACTCGAGTCCAGCCAGAAAGACTCGGCCGCTCGTGAGAAAGCCCGCCGAAAGAGGGTCTGCTCGTCGCATTGCGTGTCGATCGACGTCACGTTGACGCGAAGGCTGACGGGCGGCTGGTGGTGGGCGCTGGGGGAGAGGGGGACAGATGGGGCAAGGGGGAGGGGTGCTGGTGCTGGTGCTGGTGTGTGTGGGATGGCGCTGGTGCCTCTGAGTTGGGAGGCCAGGTGGAAGCGGACGGTGAGGTCGCGGAAGTTGCGGAGCAGCTGCACGCCACACGAGGTGCCCACAGACTCTGAACAAATGGACACCCATTCATCCACACATGAACGTAAAGGCCTTTGCTCGAACTCACTCGCCCATTGACTGACTGACCTGGGTGGAACTGGATGCCGTAGAGGGGCTTGGAGGTGTGCTCCAGGCCCATGATGACACTGCTGCCGTCATCTGGCCCGTCCAGCCAACACGTCGGCCGCAGACATGACGGCAAGCTACACACACACACACACACACACACACACAGAAGCCATAGACACGCACACACAGAGAGATGGAGAAAGGCGCTATAGACGAATGGCTCAATGCGTGCGTACCTGTGTGGGTCAACGCACAGGGAATGGTATCTCACAACCGGCGACGGCGATGGGATGCCGTCGAACAGACCCCCACCTCCACACGACGTGGTGTCGAACCGCACATTCGACAGACGGCCATGCATCACCTCTGGCGCACACACGACCTGAACAGACCAACACACACACACACAGCCGTTCATCTGTCTGTCTGTCTGTCTGCCTGTCCGTGTGTATAGTATATGTGTGTGGCCGCGTACCTTTCCGCCATAGACGTGTGCGATTCCCTGGTGCCCCAGGCACACCCCCAGTGTGGGCACGATGCCCTCCTCCAATGCACCACGACACAAACCGAAGTCATCCGCAGACTCGGGACGCCCGGGACCCTGCACAACGCACACACAAACACAGAAACCACTCCAAATGCCACGATCTGCGCATCTGTCCATGCCCTCATTCGCTGCTCATTGACTCACCGGCGAGATGACGATGTTGTGCACGAATGGGTATCGCCGTCTGAGCTCCTGCCAGTCGGCATTGAACGCGTCATTGTACACGACGATGGGCGGAATGCCATTGAGGACAGCAAGGATCTGGTAAAGATTGTACGTGTAGGAGTCGTAGTTGTCGATCAGCAGCGTCAGCACACCCGGCCTGCTCTGCTGCTGCTGATGGTGGTCACGCTGTCCATGTGCGTCGCATGAGACCAGGGGAGGCGACGACGGAGGCAGATCGTTGACGTGATCTTTGGCCATCTCTCCGACGCTGTCTCATCGCTGAGCTCGCAATTTCAAGGAAAGGAAGGAGGAAGGAGAACGTCGTCAGGGCCGTAGCTGATCAGTCTCAATCGGCGCAAGGCAGCTTATCCGTCCGCTGCTCGAGCGTAGTGAAGAACCCGGTCTGTAGCTTATCTGTCTGTTTGCTTCTGTGCATCTATCGTCGTCCATCGTATCGTGAGAGGTTCTTCACCATGTCGCGCCACTCGAAGAACAACACGGCGCACAGCATCTTCACCTACCATGAGAAGAAAATGATGAAGGACGCCGGCACTATCAAGGAACGGTCAGTCAACCCACCAGTCAGCCACTCAACCACGCACGCAATCACACACACTCTTCCTCTCTCTCTCTGTGTCTGTGTCTGTCCATTGTGCGTGTCAGATTGGGCACCGAGTCGTTCCGCCGGTTCGAGTCGTGTTGGTTGTGTCTGCAGCCAGCGGTGAAGCCGGTGTGCACGCCGAGCGGTTACGTGTACTGCCACGAGTGCATCATCCTCAACCTGGGGCAGCAGAAGAAAGACCTGCAGAGGGAGAGGGCCCTCTGGGAACGATCCACCAACAGAGAACAGGAGGTCAGCTCAGATGCGCAGCGCGTGTTTCATGCCCACACGGGACGACCGACAGACGAGTGTGTTGGCTGCGCCTCTCTCTCTCTCTCTCTCTCTGTGTGTGTGTGTGTGTGTGTGTGTGTGGTTGGTAGAGCAAGGTGCGTGCTGAGTGGGAGGCCAAGCAGATGGAGCTGGAGCAGTTCCTGCAGGCCGAGGAGGACATATCGGCATCCACGGCATACAAGACCAACAAGAAGGCAGCACCAACGGCAGCACCGACACAGGCCAGTAATCTCAACGTCGACCCTCGAGCACCCGTAAGCACACACACACACACACCACACAGACAGACACGCAGATGTGTATCCAATACACTCGTGTGTGTGCGTGTGCGTGTGTGTGTCGATCAGCACAAGCAGCTGTTTGTTGAGGAGCGGAAGGAGGAGGCCAGGAGCAAGAACTTCTGGGTGAGGGAGTGCAATGACCTGGACGGCGCATCGGCGTGTGTGTGCATGCCTTATTGATCTGATCTGATCGATGTCATGTGTGCAGATCGTTGAGAACACGCCATCTGCCGAGGGCAAGCCCGTCAAGGAACCCAGAAAGTAATCAATCCACCCAGACCAACCACACCCACCAAGACCCTCTCTCTGCATATCTCTCTCTCCTTGTCCCATGGCATCAGGCACCTGCTCTGCCCCATCTCCAAGAAACCACTCAAGGCAAGCGACAAACCCAACTCAACTCAACCAACACAGACCACACCCCGCCATACGCACTCTTTTTCCCTTCATTAGTTGAAGGAGCTGACCCGCATCAACCCCGAGTATGAACACGGCCCTGCAGCGGGCACCAGCGACGCGCCGGAGGAGGGCCAGGCGGCTGACGACCGGCCCAAGGGGGAGAGGAAGAGCACACACTGGCTCTGCGCCGTGTCCAAAAAGGTGCGCACGCACGTGGGTGGATCGGTGTGGCGGATGGATGGATGGATGGACACACCTGTGTGTATGTCTTTTGTGCAGGCCATCAGCCACCAGAAGGCGGCTGTGATCAAGCAGACTGGCCAGGTGGTCCTCATGGTAATGAGGCGTGCACGGCCATGCCAACCACCGCACAATGCCGTCGATCGGTCCATGTGTGTGTGTGTGTGAAATGGTGTGTGCAGGAGTATTTGGACAAGTATGTGTTGGGTCGGAAGGGCTTTGTGCCCGACAAGGAGGAAATCACCTCCAAAGACATCATTCCTCTCATTCCGGGCGGCACTGGTACAACACGCACAACCAACCAGCCAACCACACCCACGTGTGTGTCTGCATACTCACTCGTGTGTCTGGTGTGACTGCGTGTGTGTAGGTTTTGCTGCGCACAACAAGGTGGAGGTGGCCAAGTGGCGGCCGGTCATGGAGGCCTGATACGTGTGCCGAGCTGACTGTGTGTGCTGCACAGCTTCCTGCATCTTTATTTCTTTCTCCCTTTATCTATGGATGGATTGCTTTTACTGCTTTTGGTTGACTCTCTCTCCACGCATTCATGGCTCGTGTCACCTGATCCGTGTATCCTGAATGTCCATCCCACAGCACCAACGTCGCTTTCTTCCCTCGCCAATCACATCCACGCGCACACAGAGACATACACGTCCTCATTCACTCTCCCTTCCCACTGCATGGCATTTCTGGGGCAAGGAAGGCCCCTCACACAAGACGGCGCAAAAACGGCACGAGGCATAAAGCGCTGTGCTGCACATAACTATCGATCATGAATAACATTTGCTGACACTCCACGCGCAAAGACAAAACACCCACGGGCGACAGACAAACAATACCGACACACAGCACACGCCATCAATACTGAGCCAACACTCACAAGTCTCTCAAACAAGCAGGAGACATGCAATTGAGCATGCACACTGACCGACACACAAAACACCACCAGACAGCAGAAAGACACCATTAGGATGAGAGAACAGATTGCCCTCTCCCTTTCACAAATAAACAGCCATCCATCACACACATCTCAACAACTGCACATGGTGGTCTCGGCATCGTCACCACTGTTTGCCCGCCGCCGTACACGCACACATCGGATCGATAAAAACCCGATCCGCTGCCGTATGCGTTGCCATTGCCATCATCATGCCAATCACGCCGATGCCGCACAGCACAATCGGTCAATCAGCCAGCCAGCAAGCCGTCCCACGACACACTTGAAAAACGGGACAAGCCGCGCCACGGACTCAGACATGACGTAGAGTGATTGTGTGTGCTCGGCTGGGTGGGTGGGCTGGCTCACGGATGCACGTGTACTTACATATACAGGCATCATCCAACCAATACAAAAACATACGAAAAAGAAGCTGGCGCCTTTGTGTTCAGTTCTGCCGACCCCCCATCCACGGAAAAAGGTTTCTGGGGTGAAAAGCAGAGAAGGACGAGGTGACTTGCGAGGAGAGAGCAGAACAGCACGAGGCAGACGAGTCCGGGCGGCAGTCGAGCCGATTCGCCCCGTGGAAGGAGGCAGCAACACCACTGCCGGCGATAAACAAACCCAAAACCCCCGCAACTGCCGCTGCCCCCTCGGCTGCTGCCTCGGCGGTGGAAACAAGAACCAATGTGGGCCACAAAAGGCACAGCAATCCGAAGATGCAGAGGGACAGCCCAGCGCAGAGCCATCGAAAGAGGCGCCAATTCTTCACTTGCACCTCTGTGGCCCCCGATCTCCTGCCATCCTCCCCCGCCTGCACGATGGCTTCCCGCAGCTGCCCTTCCTGACGGCGGCGATCGTCTTGCAGCCTGAGAAAGTCTTCGAGGATCTTGTGGGCCTTGTGTGGGTCCAGCCAGCCTGCATGCACCTCCTCCACGTACTTTGCCTGCAAACGAAGAGGCCACACACAGACTAAGTCACACATACGCTCTCGCCTTCCCTTTGCCTTTACGTACGAAGTGCGCCTTATGGTGTGAATCCAGCCTGTTCTCGCTGAGAGCCCTGATCTGCTGGAACCGCTCCACCATCTTCTCGTGACTCCACTTGCGGAAATTGTTGTCCCGGGCGATTTCTTCAACCATAGCCAGCACATTCTCACGCACCCCCGGCGGCTGGTCCTCCACCTGACCAGAAACACGCCACGTGCCACTACACCGATGTTTGCGTCGCCGTCTTCGCTCATTTGCTCATTACCTCATGTTCATTGAAGTGTCGGCAAAGCGCCTCGATGGACGCCTCGTCGTCCTTCTCTGCCGCCAGCACCCGCCCCTCCACCTTGTCATACCAGCTCTTGTACTTCACGTTGTCCGACTGCTTGATCTTATCTCCGATCTCCTTCGACGTGTTGTTCTCAGTGTGCGTCACCACGATGCAGGCGTGCTTCTTGAGGGCATCCTCGGTGAAGGTGTTTTTGATGGCCATCAGCGACAAATGCTCCGAGCTAGTGAATCGGCCGTGGCGCAGCACAATGATGAAGGCCGTGACCCCTTCCATGGCATGGATCGAGGTCTGCTGCAGCTGCTCCATGACTTGCTCGTCTGACAAGCTGGTGTCCTTGAAGCCGACAGTGTCAACGACGCGGTAGCACTTGCCGCGGTAGGTGAAGTCTGCGTGCTGGCATCGCTGAGTGACCGAGCTGACGTCGTCCTTCGCCTCGAACTTCTCGTCACCGCAGATGATGTTGGCGAGGGTGGACTTGCCGTTGCCTGTCGCTCCGAGAAGGACGATGCTAATCGGCTGCTGAGGATCCATGATGACTGCAGCAGCGAGGGAGCAGAACACACAACGAACGACGCGCCGCTCTCAGGGGAAAGGGATGCGCGGATGTAGACACACAGACAGAGAGCAGCTGGCCTTGCGGTATCTGCTCACTGGGGAGAGTGGCAGGAGAGGAGGGAGATCGGTGCCGAAAGCTCGCAAGTCCTCTTCGTTTCCTGGCCAATCCCTTGTCCCGCAATGATTGGTACCGATTCCATTCATCGTCCCTAACAAAGTACCTCTGGGCACGACCGCAGCGAATGCAAACACCTTTGACTGTTTACGCACACTGCAGTAAGTGCTTGTGGATTGCGGACCCATAGGCTGTGTGCTCATCATGACCGCGCTGCCGAGCGCTGCACGAGTCATATCCGTCGAGATTCGCTCATTCCGGATGAGCCCTCGCTGAGACACCCATTCTGACCGCCCTGCCGCACTGACTCATCCATTTGCCCCTTTTGGCCCCTCCCTTTGTCTCCCTCTGTCGATAACTCTACCCCCTCTTGTACAGCGACCGAGCACCGGCCAGCCGCCACAACCTCACCAGGTACTGTACACCTCTCCGCACGCCCTATCAGGTGGCACACACAAATCAGCGATATCTCACACTTCATTCCACTCATTTTTCCCTGTTCCGTGTGTGCAGATTTCACTGACCCGTGTTTTTCGCGACAGCTGCTGCTCCGGCACCACGACAGAAGTCACTCAATGCGCTACACGGTGACCTGCATACTTTTCACTGTCGTCTCTTCACCCACCTCCTCACTCAGGTTGATTGTTGGTCATTTCTCACCGATTTGTGGATGCCGCCGGCCTCTTTGTACAGCATGATTGAGACCGGTCTCAATATACACGTACATATATGCACAGACTCATATACACGTACACATATGAGCACTCACTCACTGTGTTCTGCGTGCTGTGCGGGATGTTGGTGTAGGTGTGCCTGACGTTGGGGTTGCCACCGCTCAAATTACTTATCCAACATGAACCGCCCAGCCAGCCCTCGAGCCGCAGCACCGCCGAAGTACACCTGCATGGGGACCCTGGACTTCCTCAAGCCCGGACAGGTGCTCGACAGCGGATGGACGGCCACTCTCCAGCGAGCGAGAGAAGGACGACCAGCCACATCTGTACCACGACATGGCGTCCGTCTTCGCCGTCTTCAGCAACGGCGAGGAGAAGATCTGGTCATTCCACGGCCGGCCATGCCCACGCGAACGCGGCCGGCCATGGTGAGACGCGTCGCCCCGCTCGCCAGAGCCCAAGACGGCGTGATCCTGACCACTGGCCGAGGGCCAGCCGGCTCAGCTCGAGACAAGGTGTCCAAGATCCAGCGTTCCGAGGAGATCAACGGAGAGGGCGGGCAGGGGGGGGGGGGGGGGGTCTGC